AGATTGGATGGCGCAGAAGTGTTCAGTAAGTGTTGGTTGAATTATCAGAAGAGTAAATGCTTAAAGTGGTTTTTGGATTATATATACTGAATAGTGACATTTAGAAATTGTATGGCGGGAAACCCAATACAGAGTTTTGAAAACGTGTCTAAGGCAATGATGACTGTAATTTGGAAGGGATTGAAGACTGTCCTTTGAGGTATGAACAGGCTACTATTTGAATCTTTCTTATGCACCTGATACTGAAGGGGAGTTGATTGAAGTAATGGGTTTTATAGGGTTATGCATATATCTGGTGGAATATTCAAGAAGAGCTCAAAGAATCAATATGATTTCAACTGTAGGGGAATAAAAACAATTATGACTTTAGGTGACAGAGTGAAGTGATTGCTCTTAGGCTCTCCAATATATACCCTTTCTAAACTTTTAGAAGGAATTTTTTGGCTTATTTTTTTCTAGGACAATACCCAATGATTAGAAAGGCACAATTAGCCATCACTGTTTGAGGGTTATGGGCCAGGCACTGTGTTTATAACGGGCACTTAGATTCACATCAGCTCATTTAGTTAATAGAATAGCACTAAGGGGAGGACAGTATCATTCCAATTTCACAGATGAAGCTGGGGTTACTGCACACCTTACTCCAGGTTTCACAGCTAGTAAAGGATAGGCCAAGGATTCAGATCCAAGAATCTGAACTAAACTTTTCAGATTCCTAAGCCTATGGCCAGAGTTAAACATATTGAAAAGGGATGGTGTAGTCTCAACATTTCCTCATAGAACAACAGTGAAAAAGTATTTCTGTTGATGAACTTTAACCAATGTATCTGAACAAATGCTACTTAGATTTTGATGAATCTACCACATTAACCATTATTTGGAATCTTCTCTGGTAAGTTTTCTCTAATCTAGACTCCCTTTATATATCCCAACTCCTGGCCACTTGATTAAAATGTGCTGTCAGACAGATGGGCACTACCATATTTCAATGCCACATACTTACTAGTTGCAGTCATGCTTACAATCAAATATATGACTAGAAAAAGACTGGTTTTGTCTATTACAACTAGTCTTGACTTGCTAACATTGTTTGACAATATGTTACTAAATCTTTTTATTAATGTGGAATTTAGTGCAAGATTTCTAATTCTAGAAGGCAGCTCTTGTATACAGAATAGCAAAGGACTTGAAATAAAGGAGCATAACTTTTTTGACCCCCCTACTCTGTATCAGTCACAATTAAAACATTTTATTTCACTTTTCCCCCAAACTACCTTGCAAGGCAAGGTCATTGAGGTGTCCTTTTTTTCAGATGAGGAAGACAAATTTTGGAGAGACTGTGGAATTTGCCCATGCATGGTGAGAGTCTAGCTGGGGTTCCAGCCCAATCCTGTTGGGTCTCAGTACCTCTCCCCATTCCACGAAACCCCTCTGATGTCTATCTCAGCAAGGCCTGACTTATAACATGATTAGGAGTGTATTTGCCAAATTGTCATTAAGCTCTTTGTGTCTTTGTTTATCTTTAAGATAAGGAAAAAACTATCTACCACTCAGGGACTAAACACACTAGCAGATCCAAATCATTTAGCACAGTACCTGGCACAATATGGAGATTGATGAATGTTGCTTTAGTTTATATAAATTATCTGAGACAGGCAGGAAAAAGGAACTTTCCATAATTTGACATCATTGAGCCTTTTTCCCCCCATGCCCATGAGAGTCAAGAGCATAACCATTCCACTAATGAAATCCGAAGGAACAGGGTTAACTAAATTTGCTTTTCTCTTTGAAAACTGGTAACCTATGTATGGATAGAGTACACTAATTCAGTTAACTGACATGTCAGGATCATGGTGAAAAATGTGGAGTCTCATGATGGATTATCCAGTTGGCAAAGTAAGCATGTGTGTAGGGAACTGGTAAGTCAAGGACACCTGAGATATGAGAAAGGTGCCAGCTGTAGTGAATATTTGCAGAATTTTATAATCCAAAAATCTAGAAAGAAGCTGTAAAGATGTAAGCATTCATTTATATTTTGTCTTTGGACTTAATAATTTAAAAAAGAAATTGTCGATATGCCAGGAAACCTGGAGAGAAGGCATCTAAAGCTTTCCAGGGCTTAAGACATTATATAAGCAAGGTTCTGCCAAACCGTTAGAAGTTCGTTGACTTGTAGCATATGCTTATAAGTTACCAGACATTTAAAAAGAAAAAGTATAGTATCCAATAATACTTCCCAGAATACAATGTTCTGTCATCTTACCTGTTCAGAAGTGTTCTCCAGCTCAACCTATCATAGCAATCCAAATAATAATGCCTCAGTTGACAGACAACAGTTGTGTAGTCCATAAATATGCCACTTCTAATAAATGTATAGAAGGAATTAGTAACTGGTTAGAACATTTTATTTCACGTGGTCCTAGCTTACTTTTAATAAGATATGACATGTTTAGCTCTAGTGTAAGATCTCTTACTAAATGTTTAGAAAATAAAAATGCATCATCATACAAGGTTTGGGGAAGAACATTTTATTGCTAAGCATATCCTTGAACCAAAATGCAAATATAAAATAAAAGAGAAAGGAAAAAAGAAAAAGCAGTAACTTCACAACATCATAAAATAAATTCCTTAAGAGTCTGCTCATAAAACAACAGGAATATGATAGAAGCTCACATACAGAGTGCACATGTTCCCATAAAATTGTCCAAATAGAAACTTACACTGAAAGGAATATAACAAATGTATTTTTACTCAAAAAAAAATTTAAGAAAGAAATCAGGAAATCAGTTCACAAGACCTCAAGACTCCAAAAACAGCAATCTTTTACAGACATCGAGATATAATCAACTTCATATAGGTTGGGCCATTTAAGTTATCTAAAGTCGTGCTTTGATATCTCTTTATAATCCTGTCTTTTTTAATGACAACAAAAAAATCTGAAACTCATAACACACTGAAATATCAGATAATGAGGAACATCTCTTTCCATATACATCCATCAAGGCTACCATCGTTTCGATTGCGCTTTTTGCCCCGTGTCTTTAAGATATTTCTCGAAATCAAGTATTCATGCAACTTACAAAGACCAGCAAGAGTAGATTTCTAAATCTAAACAGCTTATTGGTTTTCATCTGTACAAAAGAAATCGTATATATCTGACCCTCCAGAAGACATACTTCATTTCTGTGTGCATGTGTGTCTTGTTTTGTCTCTTGCTTTTGGGATTTTCTTTGGCCACACAACCAGTTTGTTTTTCTGTACATTGTTTCCTCTTTTCAAAAAGAAAGACAGACAACTGGAATATAAACCAAACGAACCGAAACAAACCCATAGAAAAGAACAGACAGTTCTTAAAGCGGTTATGTACATAGGTGGCTAAGGAATTTATACCAGCAAAAATGTAGTAAAATATGTAAACAAAATCTGAGAAGATTGTTTATTCTCTTTGACACAGTTAACTGTGACAAAACTAAAACTCACACTTTCTTCACATTTTAAGGTTTACTTTTTTGTTGTTTTGTTATTTTCTTTTAAAACAACAGTCTCATTCCACTTCAAGACTTGAACAGTTTTCCTGTTTCAGTCATCCCATCAAACATACCATGATAAATATATCTGTATATATATTTATTTATATATATATTATACTATTAAATTCCTTTTTGTGTGTGTGTCACAGCAGCTTTGTTCATTTATTATTTATTTATTTGTTTTTAGAAAAGATGGGTGAAGGGAGACGTGAGCGAATGGAAGGACAGAGTTATCTGTAAGTGTCAGGCTACAAAATTAAACCACTATGAAAAACATCATGTTGGGGGGCGGGGGAAGAACTATGTCTTTTGCACTCTGTCACCACGTTTGGCTTGTGTGACCTTTTGTGGATCCATCACACGTTGAACTCCCCTACTGTCTGTTTTGATTCTTTAACAGACTTTTAGTATTGTCTTGTCTTTTATTATGTGCATGCATTTCAGTCAGTCACATATCCAGCCCACCCCCTCTTCCCCTTCCCTGGGAAAGGCTCTGTTTTGTGGGGCTCTCTCCTTTACCACGATTCGGCTGGGCTAATGAACAGGAACAATATTGTTAAGTAAAGCCAGTAGCTCTGATAAAACCAGCCCTAAACCCATCTGGTCAGGGTTTGGGTGGCAAAATCTGAAATTAGATCCTGAGGGACCAGCTTTACAAATCAATGCCATCATCCATCATGTGATTTTGCTATGTGTTCAGCAAAGCATCATATAGGAAACAAACAACAGATTCTAGAAATACCACAACCTGATATGTAGAGTGAACACCATGGTAGCTTTTAAGTTCATATGGCAATAGTCTCTCTTACTTTCGTTTTCTGAGTTTTTTTGTTTTGTTTTGTTTTTTCTTCTTCTTATGTCCAGTCATTCTCAAAAAATAAACAAAAACCCAAAAGCCATTTTTTTTTCCCCTCAGATCTTGAAAAGTTACACGTACACTGGCCAAAACCAGATAAGGGTGGGTTTTTTTGTTTGTTTTCGTTTTTAATTTTTTTCATTTTTTTGTTTTTGTTTTTTACATAATTAAACCAAAAGAAAAAAAACATCGTTACAGTCAAGCTTCACAAACATCATTACAGACTCACTTGGAGTTATAGAACAAGTAAGCCATGAAGTCTTCTACCTTGGGTGAAAAGTCCTCAAGAGAAGGAAGCTTCCAAGTCCGCGAAAGTGGGGGAGCCATCGGCTTGCTCCAGAGCGCAGAGTGTGTGCTTTATGATACAGCAGGGCAGAGAGAATGTTCTGTCTCCGAGCAATGACTGAATCAAAGCAGCCATGGCTGAATTTTATAGGTAGGTACATCTTTGTGTGCGTCCTTTTTAAAAATGGTTTTCCCCACCGTAGTCATGGTACACCCCATCTCATAGTAATCACAGTTCTGACATCTGTGAAATTCATTTTCCAAGTATTTATAGATGTATATAGAAATAATTCTGTGTCATAAATTCACGTGACTGTGAGCGGTGTCATTTTTACACGTAATACTCCTTGTCCTTGTTTTTCTGTTTCTTGTGGCCGCTCTTCGAGCTCTGCTGCTTCTCCTTGATGAGCGTGCCGTTGCTCTGGGCCGAGTTGCTGATGTAGTTCCGCGTCTCGTCCACTTGATAGGACCCCTCGTCCCTGTTCCTGTACTTGTACATGGCATACAGGAGGATCAAGATGCAGAGGGCAGCAGCAGCCACAATGCCGACGACCATCCCTGTTGTACTGCTCGACTCCCGGATCACCTCTGAGGCCCCCGGAACCCGTCTGACTCCCGGCTCTGTGGGGTTTGCTGTGGGCACATTACGGAACATGGGGGAAGTAATTAGTGGGCTCTTCAGTTTGGTGCTGTCTAGCTCATAGGCAGTGGGCAACGGAGGCAAGACTATATCAGGCTGGGGTTTGAGATCACGGTTATTCATTTTGCCAGCTGGCAATTTGGGCACCATCCCAGACGAGGAGGAAGCTGTGAAGCGGATCAGCTCAGGGGACAAAGATGTGGTAGTAGTCCTACTAGTTTCGGAGACTTTGTTAGGTCTAAAGTCCTTGGATTCCCACTTGGGCGCATATGCTTTGTAGCCACCTTCGAAGATTGAAGTGGAAAGACTCTTATCTGTTACCAAGGAGAAGGTGGTGTAAAAATCTTCATCATCAGTAGGGGGCAGGTTAGAGTCAAAGGTTTCCCCTGAGCCATACCCAGATATCACCAAGCCATCATCATCACAACCATCGCTGCCTTGGTCCGACAAGCAAGGTAACCCCGCCTCAGAGGTCATGGACAGGGAATCTTTGGTGGTCTCAATAATGGTGAGGAGGGGGCGGAAGGTAGGGGGGAGTGTAATGGAAGGTGCACGAGTAGCAATAGGAGGGGTAGCTAAAGGGTCTTCTACAAGAAGAGGGACAACTAATTCACCTCCTGGGATTAAAAAGAAAAAGAAAAACACAATTAGTATATTTGTAGATAGACACAATTCCTCGTCATTCTCAGTGACTGTATTTCATAGGTTAGGCATCAGAAATTACAACAGAATGACCTCGGTCTGCATATGGATCCTTTCTTGTTGTAGCCTGATCATTCTAAACTGGCTTATAGCCCATTATATGCCTCTTGCCACCAAAATCTGAAATCCCTAGGTGTTAAAGATACTCTCAAGTAATTATTTAGCTAGAGTTCAAGTACGCTGTTTCCAGGATCTGCTCACAAGATAATGACATTCCATGTTACTGTTGGCAAAAACGGACTATCAGAATTGTGGGTGTGCGTGCGTTCATGCATGTGGTTAATCCGGGAGCCCTAGCATTTCTTTATTATTATTTTCTTGGGTTTCTACTTACTTGTCCTGTGAGGATGAGCGTGATGCATTTCTCCATGTCCCAGAGATCAAGATCAGTGAACAAAAAAGACTGTCTTTAGTACTTTAAGCTACTTTTATTAACATTTATCAATTTCAGTCTTCATTTACTGTATGCTAAGTGAGGGGGAACCTAGTAGAGGTTGAAATTGAACTGTTCATCTAACAAACCCTTTTGGACTACACCTTTCCAAAAATTCCCCATTAAATGACAACTCACCTGGCACTGATCTCATATTATGTTCAGGCATTGCTTTGATGCTCTATGCAATATACGCTGAGCTGGATACTATTTTTAAAAATACCCAGACTAGATACCCATGCCTTGTGGAAAATTTAGATTCAGAAACGTAGAGATAGCCAAGGAAGGTTTTAAAATTGGCAATTCTTGTGCCACCTGGGTGTCTCAGTTAAGCGTCTGGCTTCGGCTCGGGTTATAATCTCAGGGTCCTCAGATCAAGCCCCTTTCGGGCTCTGCGCGCGGCTCAGCAGGGAGTCTGCTTCCCTCTCCCACGTCCTCTGCCCCTTCTTGTTCTCTCTCTCAAATAAATAAATAGAATCTTAAAAAAATTAAAATCAGCGATTCTTATCTAGAGTGTGAAAAATAAATTGGTTTACCCGCAGACTCGAGTTATTGCACTTATAAACATGTGGACTAGGCCAGGAAGGAAAGTTCAAAGTGGTTCAGTAAATCATAGTGTGTTGCGAATCATGGGTACCACAAATATTCTGTGGTAGGTATTACTCACCTAATTGTAGGGCCACGTTTATTACTCATGTACGTAAGCAAGATAATTGAGGTCTCTTTACAGTGTTATTTTTCAAACAGAGAAAGAATCTCCAGAAGTCACAGTTATCTCCTCATTGAATTTATTCCAAAAATGTATTCCAGCTGTTTTAAAGAAAAATCCTCTAGCAGGGACGGAATGATGTTTTCCAGTCCCAGTCTGTCAGACAGGTGAGTTGCTAACAGGATATGATTACTGAGCTGGGTCATTAAGCACTCAGCCAGGTGTGATGCTCTTGTGTGTTCTGCCCTCCACAGTAACTGCCTTGATGGGATGGTTGGTGTTCGAACATCTATTGTCAGATAGATGTTCAGCACTTGCTGAAGTGCCCCTTATGGGTAACAAAGTCAGACTCGTGTCTCACAACTGCTAAGTTCCAGGTGGACCAGCCTTTGAGCTTGCATGGTCTTTCCAGGTTCTTCCTACAAAGACTGACTCACAAATGAGAACTCTCCTGCTCAGCTTTCCATACTTTATATCTTTTTTTTTAAAGATTTATTTATTTAGTTGTTTGACAGAAATTACAAGTAGGCAGAGAAGCAGGCAGAGAGAGAGAGGAAGGGAAGCAGGCTACCCGCCGAGCAGAGAGCCTGACGTGGGGCTTGAACCCAGAACCCCGGGACCATGACCCAAGCCAAAGGCAGAGGCTTAACCCACTGAGCCATCCAGGTGCCCCAATACTTTATATCTTTAAAAACATTTCCTGTGCCTCAGTTGGAACTGCTGAGTCTAACCGGCCCCGATTGCAGCTGTGCTAAGAGAAGGGTGTGCCAGGAGGAAGGCTGTTGCGTACCTTCAGAGCACCTGAGAAGAGCCGTTTGTTCCCATGTCAGACGCTTTACTCCAGAATTAGCCAGTAACATTGTGTTATGCAGAGAGAAATGGAGTTGGGGAGGGTGGCAGTAATGGACATAATGTATCTTTGGAAGGCAAGCGGTCATCTCTGTCCTACCTGGTAATGTTACCATATGTAGGGAAATAACAAATGAACTTGAGAATTTCAAGATGGTATTTTGGGCTATGTGCTAACCCTAAGCTGCTTTCTTCTAGGGCTCAAGAGTTTCAAGCTACTGAGTGAAATGATCTTCGCAGATTTGTCAAAGCTTCAGACTTGCTTTACTGGACCACTGTGAGGTTTGGTTTTGTTTTGTTTTACATTGTGAACATATATAATTCATATATCTTGCAGCATATTTAATGAATAATATAAAACTTTTGCTAGTTTTTATAAATGGAATTTGGAGCACAGAGTTCCCTAAAGGTAAGCCAGTCGTAAAACTAACCCTGAGTTTACTTTTCACCTTATTCTTCTGGGGGCGGGGGGAAAGGGTGTGTGGCAATTGTTAATATTTAAGGTGACCCATGGAAAAAGGCCGTGTTTAAGGACAAGAAGGGCTATGAGAAGAGAAGGCCTATGATATGTGTTTGAAGGTTCCCTAGAGATTACTCAGGGACGATTTCACTTTCCTTCAGAGAACAAGACAGGACTTTTTTTTTTTTTTTTTTTTTTTTTAACCCATCTCACCTAGAATAAAAGTTTAGCTTGTGTGTTCTTTTCTGGCACAAATACTGAGAGTCCTCTGTTCCTTAGGACAATGATAAAAATCTGCCCCATGTATATTAAGCAGAGAGGGAGCTGGGATAAAGGACAAGGAATATCATTCTGCTAAAAGTCAAAAGCCTGGTACAAAACATTTAAATATAAAGGCAAATCGTTAACTAGGGTGCTGGTGTCCCTCAAGTGAGATTAAGATTACCGCCTTCATAATTACACAGTGGCATTCATTTGCAATTTTAGTGTACCATCTGGGACACCCAACTGGTGTCTTAGATTTGCCTCCGTTCCCCCCCCCTTCTTCCAATCCTAGCTAAAGCTTCTGCAGTGTCTTTGTTGTCAAAAGTCTACAAAATCCACAAACTGTTCAATCTGCAGTTGAATTGCCCCCCCTTTCCTTTGCTATTCACTTCCCAATTCAACACCTTTTAACCTCTCTTGGATTAAAAGAAAATGAGTAGAAACCATCATTTTCATAATGAAGTGGAGAGACGTAAAGCTCACCAGTTCATAAAAGCTTCTAAAAGGTTGGTGAGCCCTTAAGTGACATGATAAGACCTTACTTTAAAATAATGGGCACACCGCTATTTCAGAGTTTAAATAAAAGGACCTGTCTAAATTACTAAGATTCAGTTTTCTTTGCCATTTTTGTTAATAATCCTGGCAGCAGTGATGAGAAAAAAAATAATAAATGAACCCCCTTGCCAGGGAAGAGTGAGCCCCAATTCTGGTGGTAGGTTCATCAGTGAAAAGGGAGAAAAGCGTTCATAGTCTACTCCCTTTCCTGGTGTCTTAAGATACTAAAGAAAGTCTTCAGTTTAAAGTGAAGTCAGCTGGGCCATGGGAATTGTTACAAAGGGGAATTACAGTGAAAATGAGACGGAAAATTCTAGAGATGTATAAATGCACAAGGTTCCTGGGACAGGTGTGTGAGTTGGTGTGTGTAATCAATTTTAATATCAAATTCCATCTTTAAGATTTAGGATGATTATAGTGTCCTGGGGATTTCCAAGGGCACACATCCTTTGATATGAGGAGATGAAGGATACATTTCTCCCATGATTAGATCCTTAAGAGAAATAACTTGGGTTATAGAGAGCTATTTAAGATTTCATGTTTATTTGTTTTAATCTAGAATGATTCCCTCAGAAATGCTGGAACAGCGGATGATACTTTTTTTTCAGTGCCCAAAGACTATGGAGTCAGGGATCTACCAGATGTCTATGCTTATAAAAGTATTCACTGAAGCAACAAGCCTAAAATCATAGGGGGTTACAGGCAGAAACCCTGCACTGCAGGCCATCCACACCCTAATTTCCTATTCCATTCCCTGAATTCTTCTTTGGCTTGGAATAAGAACTACCTATATTCCTTAACGTTAGCATTTTAAATCAGGAACATATACCCCTTTTTGACAGGGTTGTGCTTTTCTTTAAACTAGAGAGATCACTAGGGATATAAAAGGTCTATTTTAGCCCCGAAGGCTGCCCTGCTTTTTTGCTTTATGAGTGTATTTATAGATATATAATTCATGTGTCTAGGGCTGATACCCAGCAAAAGGGGCTCTCTGCCATCGAAAAAGACAGTGTATTAAAAATTTAATAGAACTTTTCTGAACTGTGAGAATGTTGCAGGTGATGGTGGATGCAGTGGGTCATCTAAAAAAAAAAAAAAAAACACAGGAGCAGCATGAAATTTCAATGTGGCTCCAACCTTTGACTCTCTGGAGATATTTGAGTCTAAGAAGTCACAAAAATACCAAACCAATTACACCAAAGAGCCAGACTGAGAGAGGACACCATGCTCCAGTTCCTCGAATTTCTTTTATGTCTATTTAGGTTCCTTACTTCACCTCTTATTTGCATTTTTCTAGTTCTCTGCTGAGAAATTCACCTAATAAGGAAAAATCATGCTTCCCCCTGCTACATTAGTTGGTGAATGATATTCACCTCATTATTTGGTGCCAAAGCAGCATGTGCATGTAGCACAAAAATCTCCTGAAGCTTGCAGTCCCTGTCCACCTTCAGAAAAAATAGCCGCAGACAAACATGGCAGAATCCCAGGGAGCAGACTCCAGAGAAACTCAAGGGTCTCGAAGGGGCTTTTTAATAAGATGAGACTCTCTAAGTAGGACTTCTTCCCCCCCCTAGTTTGTCTGAAATGGATTTGATTCTGAAAGGCTATGGATTCTGTTTTTCAACATATGCCCGGGAAAGATGAG